CCACGAGCCTGGTTGGAGGGCGGGGCCGCGACAAGGGGCGGGGCCGCGACGAGCGGGGCGGGGCCGCGACGTAAGGCGGGGCCGCTTCGAGGGGCGGGGCCGCGACATAGGGCGGGGCCGCGACGTAGGGCGGGGCCGCGACGGGCAGGCGCACGGGCGGCGACGGGCCGGGGCGGGTCCGCGACGAAGGGCGGGGCCGAGCCGGGCACGCGCACGGGCGGCGACGGGCCGGGGCGGGTCCGCGACGAAGGGCGGGGCCGAGCCGGGCATGCGCACGGGCGGCGACGGGCCGGGGCGGGTCCGCGACGAAGGGCGGGGCCGAGCCGGGCACGCGCACGGGCGGCGACGGGCCGGGGCGGGTCCGCGACAAAGGGCGGGCCGCGTCGAGCGGGCGCACGGGCGGCGACGGGCCGGGGCGGGGCCGCGACGTAGAGGAGAAGCCCGCCGCGCGCCACGGGGCGCACAGCGGGCAATGAACCGCCGCGCGCCTCGGGGCGCACGGCGGGCAGAAAACCGCCGCGCGCCTCGGGGCGCACGGCGGGAGGAAAAAGTAGCAGCGGAAGCAAGGTGGGGACACACCCACAGGATCGATCCAAGGGGATCGACCTGCTCTGATAGCATGTCAAAATTAGAAGGAAGAAAGAGGATTGAACTAGCAAGAATGAGGATACAAATAGCAAACCCTAGAAGGGTTGTACTCGCTATAGAGCACCCCACTACAGGCTAGAACAATAAGATAATATTCTGACAGTTACGTTAACTTCCGAGGGTTGACTCGCGATGCTTCGATTTGAGCTGCTTCGCTTGTGTCTTGAGTTCTGACACGACAGAGGCGCTTAAACTATTTGTTCCCAACACGGACAAGACAACTACAGTGAAGGGGTGGCTGTTCGGTGTCGAGGTCTTCTTCACGGCAGCAGGCGTTAATTACGATGCCACGCGTATTAATTACGCGGTTTCACTTCTTCGGGGCGCGGCGCTTGAGTGGTGGCGCCGGACCTTGGAAACAGGGACTCCGACAGGTGTGACACATGCGGCAGACGGGACCTCTACAGTGGTTAATCAAGTGGCAGAACCGATCTTCGGTGTGACCAAGATACGCACGTGGAAGGAGTGGGGCGCAGCCTTACGAGATCGCTTCGAGCACGTATCCCCCTCGGAGCAAGCTCGCATGAAGCTGCGTGCATGGTCGCAGATGGCTTCTGTCCAAGATTACACGGCGTCATTTAAAGGCTTCGCCGACCAGATCGATGACATGTCGGAAGCAGAGCGGTTGGATAAATACGTCAGCGGCCTTAAATATGAGATACAGTTTGAGGTCCGCCGAAGCCGCCCGACATCGTTCCTCGAAGCAGTACGCGTGGCGGAGTCAACTGATGCGCTGATGTAGTACACGAGAGCAGCTTCCAGGGATGGGAGAAGCTTTCGTGGCCAGACCCATCGGGCCACGATTAACGCCGTCCATACATCCGACCGCCCTCCTAAGGGTCCGTGTTTTCGGTGTGGGAAGGTGGGTCACTACAGGAAAGACTGCTAGGAGAAAATGCCGCTGACAGGGGACGACAGGAAGGAGCAGGGAAATGGGAAGAGTCAGTAATTAGCGGGCCCTTAACTGACTGTGCTCTGTCGCCCGAACACCATCATCCCCACCGAGTCGTGGTTCCGATTCATGCAATCGATCGCACTCGGCCGAATAACGGGGATAATCATGTGGATCACCCTGTGCTGGTCGCTGGCAAGGTGTTAAAAAATTATTTGAAAATGTTCGTCGATGGGGGGGCCAGCCATAGCCTCTTCAACTTGGCGAGCGCAAAAAGATGCAAGCTGCAACTTGACAGGTGTCTGCCCGAAATTGACGCTCGCCTCGTGGATGGGACGCCTCTGGCGATAACGGAAGAAACACGGACGGTCAGGATCGATTGCGGCGACGATTTCGGCTTCAGCATGAAGTTTCTCGCGACAACATTGGACGGCTGCGACGCACTGCTGGGACGTGATTGGCTGCGACGGCACAACCCCGTCATCGACTGGACAACGGGATCGTGCAGCATCAGCAAGCACGAGGGGTTAATAAAATTACCTGCATGGACACCTGACTACATCCAAGCCCCGTGCGTCAAAGCTATCACTATAGCTCGCCACTTCAACAGAGGCGCGCAGCTGTTCGCTGTTTGCTTACGCGAGTTGGCAATCGACACCGAGGGAAAGGACATCGAGAAGCTGTGTGCAGCTGTACCACCGGATTTAGAGGAGCTAATTCGGAGGTACCCAGACATTTTCCCCGACGACCTGCCACCTGGACTGCCACTTGAGAGACCTGAGGACCACAAAATCCAGCTGGAACCTGGCGCGCAGCCGACTGTTTGGACACATTGGCGGTTGACCCAGCCGGAACTCGAGGAGCTGCGAAGTCAAATTGATGCACTGTTGGAGAAGGGGTTTATTCGGGCCAGCACATCTCCCTTCGCAGCACCGATCCTGTTCACTCCGAAGAAGGACGGCGGGCTTCGCATGTGTATCAACTATCGTGCGCTGAACCGGGTCACCATCAAGTCTTGCTACCCAATCACACGCACCGACGACCTCCTCGACCAACTTCGCGGCGCTCGCTATTTCTCGAAGATTGACTTACGTGGCGGTTACCACCAGATCCGAGTCTTCGTCGACGACTGTCACAAGACTGCGTTTCGCACACGCTACGGGAGTTACGAATTTACAGTGATGCCTTTCGGCCTCACAAACGCGCCTTCGACTTTTCAACTGACCATGAACAGGGTTTTTCGGGACCTTCTAGACCGGTGTGTCATCGTCTACTTGGACGATATCCTCATTTTTAGCAAGACACGGGAGCAGCACCTCCGAGACCTGGATGCAGTGTTTAAAAGGCTGCAGGAAAACCGACTCATCACCAAGGGCTCTAAGTGCGAGTTTTTTAAGCAGGAGTTGGAGTTTTTGGGGCACGTAATCTCGCGCGACGGCATTCAAATCGACCCGGCGAAAATCAAGACCATACAGGAGTGAAAGTCCCCGACGAACGTCACGGAACTCCAGAGTTTTCTCGGATTCGTGAATTACGTCCGGCGTTTTATCCCGAATATGGCGGGGATAACCGGCCCGCTGGCCGACCTGCTGCACAAGGACAAAAATTTTGTGTGGGGGGAGGAGGCAGACGCGGCTTTCCAGGAACTCAAGAATTTTCTCGTTTCCCCTCCTGTACTGCGCATCGCCGACCCATCGAAGCCGTTCGAAGTTGTAACCGACGCCTCAGATTTTGCCATCGGAGCTGTGCTTCTCCAAGACTTCGGGAACGGATTGCAGCCGATAGCCTACGAATCACGCAAGCTGCAGGCAGCCGAACGCAACTATCCGATTCACGACAAGGAGATGCTCGCCATCATACACGCGTTTAAATTATGGCGATGCTACCTGCTAGGCGCCGACGTCACTGTTCGCACTGACCATAAGTCCCTGCAGTAGCTGCGAGCCCAACCCATGTCAAATCATAATGTTCTGTAGGCTGTAGTGGGGTAGCCTATATGGGGTACACATTTCTAGGGTTGCGTATTTGTACCACATTCCATTCCTTAGTGGACCCATTGTCGTTTCAGTTTTCTCATGGTATCGAGCAGGTTCCCTCGTGGGAACTGTGCCTAGGGCCCAACAAGTCGAAAGTTTATTTTTTTCCTGCCCGGAGCGCGCTCAGCCCGAGTCGCGCTCCCCTCTCTGACTTCGTCGAGCCGCCCTAGCGGCCAAGTCGCGCCGCCTTAGCGGCCCCTGATTCGTCGCCCTAGCGACCCCGTCGCCCTACCTACGGCCCCGGCCCCGTCGCCCTACCTGCGCCCCGGCCCCGTCGCCCTACCTGCGCCCCGGCCCCGTCGCCCTACCTGCACCCCGGCCCCGTCGCCCTACCTGCGACCCCGGCCCCGTCGCCCCACCTGCGACCCTGGCCCCGTCGCCATACCTGCGGCCCCGGCCCTAGCCCCGTCACCCTACCTGCGCCCCGGCCCCGGCCCCGTCGCCCTGCTTGTGACCCCGGCCCCGTCGCCCCACCTCCGACCCCGGCCCCGTCGCCCTACCTGCGCCCCGGCCCCGGCCTCGTCGCCCTACCTGCGTACTGGCCCCGTCGCCCTACCTTCGACCCGGCCCCGTCGCCCTACCTGCGGCCCCGCCCCGGTGCCCTACCTGCAGCCCAGCCGCCCTACCTGCGGCCCAGCCGCCCTACCTGCGGCCCAGCCGCCCTACCTGCGGCCCAGCCGCCCTACCTGCGGCCCCGCCGCCCTACCTGCGGCCCCGCCGCCCCACCTGCGGCCCCGCCGCCCTACCAACGGCCCCGCCGCCCTACCTGCGGCCCCGGCGCACTACCTGCGGTCCCGGCCTCGTCCCCTACTGCCCGAGCCGCCTACGCAGCCGAGCCGCCAGCGCCGCTAAGCAGCCCCAGCCGCCCGTTCCGCCAGAGCCGCCCGAGACGCCCGAGCCACCCAAGCCGCCCGAGCCGCCCGAGCCGCCTGAGCAGCTGAGGAGCCGAGCCGCGGGTGCCGCCGAGCCGCAGTTGCTGCCGAGCCGCCCGAGCTGCCCGAATCGCCCTGTCTGGTGAGAGCAGCGCCTCTGTCACTGCACTGCCCCTGCTCTACAGTTAGCGCTGCTAGTCTACTGCTGTCATGGCTACCCCCAGTGTTCTCACTTTTGACGCTGAGGGTCGGGCCATTGACTTTGACGTCTGGGTTGATGACCTGCAGCTTTTCCTACAGTGCGATAGGGCAGACGGTCTCTCCCTCTTTGACCTCACCTCTGGTGCTTCCCCTGCCCCTGCTGCCGATGCCGACGCCACTGTTCGCTCACAGTGGGCCACTCGCGATGCTGCTGCACGTCTTGCTGTGCGTCGCCACCTCCCTACCACTGAGCGCGCGCACTTTAGTCAGTACAAGAGTGCTCAGACCTTGTACGACGCTGTAGTTGCGCGCTACTCTTCCCCTGCCACTGCTGCACTGAGCCGCCTCATGCTAGCGTACCTCTTCCCTGACCTTGCTGCCTTTACCATAGTTGCTGACCTCATTACGCACCTCCGCACTAGTGACACTCGCTACCGCGCTGCGCTTCCTGCTGAGTTCTGCGCCAGGAACCCCCCCCCCATGTACATCACTCTCTACTACATAGTCACCCGCCTCCCTGACTCCCTTCGTGTAGTCAGAGACCACTTCCTCTCAGTCTGTCCCACCACTCTCACTGTTGACCTCCTCGAGAAGGCCCTCTTAGCAGCGGAGAAGAACATAGTCGCTGTAGGAGCCTCTCGTGGTGACCCTCGCACCCCCATCTTTGAGGGGTGTTCCCCCTCCCCCCTTTTGCCCTCTGTCGCCTCCGCTGCTGCGACCAACCTCGTTTGTCTTGATTCGGTCGATGCGGCGTCTACCCCAAGCGGGAGACGCCGCTCTGGCAAGGGCAAAGGAGGCAGGGGCGCTGGAGGAGCTAGCGGGGGTGGTGGAGGCGGCGGTCGAGGCGGCGGAGGGAGTGGGGGTGGCGGTAGGAGTGGTGGCGGGGGTGGAGGTGTCGGTGGCGACAGTGGAGGCGGAGGCGGCGGAGGCGGTAGCGGTGGGAGCGGAGGCGGCGGTGGTGGCGGAGGTGGAGGAGGCGGTGGTGGAGGAGGTGGAGCTGGTCGGGGTGGCGCTACGCAGCGAGGCGGCTCTGGTGGTGGTCAGCGCCAGCAGCATCAGCGTTCTCGGGACATCCCCCCCCCCTCAGCAGCTCCGTGAGTGGTACGCTGCACGTCAGCGTGGTGGGGGTACCGGTCCGTGCACCTACGTCCTACGCACTGGCGACCGCGCGGGTGAGCAGTGTGGGGGTGCACACCCCACCCAGCGCTGCTTTGGCCGCCTGACGGACGCGTGGCGTCACCAGTTCCCGGAGGCCACTGAGATCCCCCGCTGGGGTGAGCTATCTAGGGCGGGTGTAGCTATCTTTGATATTGACTTTGATGCTTTTCTTGCTGCCATGTATGCTTTGACTATTAGTGATGAGGGTGACTGTTACCGGTGTTTCCCGCCCGACCCGGGCATTGAGACTGCTGCTCTAGGTACTGGTGAGGCTGCTGCTCTACGTGCCAGTGAGGCTGCTGCTCTAGGGGCCAGTGCGTCTGTCTGCTCAGGTGCTGGTGAGTCTGCGCTCTCAGGTACCGTGTCGGCTTCGGCCTCCCTCACCTTCACACTTGACTCAGGGGCTTCTCGCTCCTTCTTTCGAGACCGCACCACACTCACGCTGCTTGGTCGGCCGGTTGCAGTCTCCCTGGCAGACCCCTCTGGGGGTGTTGTCCTTTCTCACTTCTCCACTGTCCTACCGTGTCCGGCGGCCCCCTCTGGCACCTTGTCTGGTCTTTACCTCCCCTCGTTCTCTACGAACCTGGTGAGTGGTGCTGACCTACAGGATGCGGGGGTTCACCAGTTTACTCCTGCGAGTCAGCGGGTGACCCACTGCTCGGACGCTCGCACAGGCCGGCACCTGGCAAGGTTTACGCGCCGGCCGGGGTCCAGCCTGTACACGCTGACCACTGAGTCTCCTCCTGTCCCTGCGTCGGGTCAGGTAGCTGGGTCGGGTCAGGTGTTTGCTGCAGCGTCCAGGTCTGGTCCTGAGTCTGCCCCCTGTTCGTGTCGCCTCTGTCTCACGAGACTCTCCTGTGGCACCACCGCCTTGGTCACCCCTCCTGTCAAACATTATATGTTTGTGTGGTTCTAGGCTGTAGTGGGTCACACCATAAGGGGTACACCAGATTAGGGTTTGACATATTTGTACTGTTGTTCCTGCTAGTCACCCATCATTCTCGTTTCTCATTCTGACATGGTATTACGAGCCTAGGTTCCACCTAGGACCGAAACGATAGGGCCCACCGTTTCCGCTAGCCGCGCCCTCGTGCGCCGCCGTTCTTTTTCCTGCGCCTCGAGCGCCTCGATCTCAAGGCCCCGTATGGCCCCGCGCTAGCCTCTCACGGCCCCCGGTCGGCCCCGCGCTAGCCTCCTAAGGCCCCCGTCGGCCCCACGCTAGCCCCGCGCTAGCCTCCTAAGGCCCCGGATCGGCCCCGCGCTAGCCTCCTAAGCCCCCGTCGGCCCCACGCTAGCCCCGCGCTAGCCTCCTAAGGCCCCCGTCGGCCCCGCGCTAGCCTCCCACGGCCCCTGCAGGCCCCGCGCTAGCCTCTCACGGCCCCTTAAGGCCCCACGCTAGCCTCCCACGTCCCATGCAGGCCCCGCGCTAGCCTCTCACGGCCCCCCCTTAGGGCCCCGCGCTAGCCCCGACCGGCCCTCCCGCGCTCGCCCCTCTACGACCGAGCCGCACGGCGCGACCCGAACCGAACCGCGCGACCCAGCCGAGCCGCGCCGCCCCAGCCGAGCCGCGCCGCCCTAGCCGAGCCGCGCCGCCCTAGCCGAGCCGCGCCCTACTTACTTGTGCACAGCACTGCTACTGCTACTACTACTGCTACTGCTACTGCTACTGCTACTGCTACTGCTACTGCTACTGCTACTGCTACTGCTACTGCTACTACCACCACTGCTGCTACTGCTACTTCAGCTATGGCTAGCCCTACAGTTCTCTCGTTCGATTCTGAGGGCCGCTCGATTAAGTTTGATACCTGGCTCAATGATCTGCACCTGTTCCTCCAGCTCACTGCCAGAGAGGATATCTCGCTGTACGATCACGCACTAGGCACAGTCCCTTCTCCTGCTACTACTGCTTCCGCTACTGCTCGCTCGCAGTGGCAGACTCGCGATGCCCACGCTCGCTTTGCTATTCGCAACTCCCTGCCAGTAGATGAGCGTGAGCACTTCGGCCAGCATCAGACTGCGCAGGCCCTGTACACTGCTGTGGTTGCGCGCTACTCCTCCCCGGCCTCAGCTGCACTAGGCCGTCTCTCCCTTCCCTACCTGTTCCCCGACCTGTCCGCTTTCCAGACAGTCGCTGACCTCATCACTCACCTCCGTACTAGTGATGCCCGCTTCCGTGCAGCCATGCCCGCTGAGTTTCTTGCCTCCAACCCTCCCCCGCTCTGGCTCACTCTCTACCACCTAGTCACCCGCCTCCCTGACACTCTGCGTACAGTCAGGGACCACTTCCTAGCTCGCTGCCCCACTGAGCTCACCATTGCCGCCCTAGAGAAGGAACTACTTGCAGCTGAGAAGAGTATTGTAGCTGTAGGTGCCTCTCGTGGCGAACCCCGCACCCCTTTCCTCGAGGGGTGTTCCCCCTCCCCCCTGCTCCCCTCTGTCGCCTCTGCTGCTGCTGTCGACCTTCTTGGTGCTGAGCAGGTCGGCTCTGCGTCCGCTCCCAGCGGGCGCCGCAGCGGCAAGGGCAGGGGAGGCAAGGGCGGTGGGGGTGACGGCGGGGGAGGCGGTGGTGGGGGTGGTGGCAGCGGCGGGGGCGGTGGCGGGGCTGGAGGGGCTAGTGGCAGCGGTGGGGGTGGTGGAGGCAGCGGCGGCGGCGGTGGCCGGGGTGGGGGCGGTGGTGGTGGCGGCAGTGGACGTGGCGGCGGCAGGGACGGTGGTGGTCGTGGTGGAGGCGGCGGTGGTGGTCGTGGAGGCTCTGGCACTGGCCAGAGTGCGCAGCACCCTCAGTCCTCCCAGGAGCTCCGTGAGTGGTACTTGCAGCACGGGGGTGGGGGGGGTAGCCTTAGCTGCACGTACGTCATCCGCACTGGTCGCCCCAAGGGACAGACGTGCGGGAGGGCGCACACTTCGCAGCGCTGCTTCTCTCGCCTAGATGACGCTTGGCGTGCTCAGTTTCCTGACGCTCCTGAGCTCCCTCAGTGGGCTGATCTCCTCAAGAAGGATATCGATATCTATGCTCTTGATTTTGATGTTATTCTCAAAGCAATGTATGCATTGACTATTAGTGGAGAGGAGGACCAGTACCAGAGTGTTCCGCCTGACCCAGGCATCCGCACGAGTGAGGCTGCCGCCCTAGGTGCTTGCGTGTCTGCTACCCCAGGTACTGGTGAGGCTACTGCTCTAGGTGCGTGTGTGTCCGCCACCCCAGGTACTACTGAGTCCACTGAGGCACTGCACACCTTCACTCTAGACTCAGGCGCTTCGCGCTGTTTCTTTCGTGACCGCACTGCTCTTGAGCCCCTTGCTCGACCAGTCACTGTCTCGCTCGCTGACCCCTCTGGGGGTCCGGTCATTGCGACCTCCTCCACCCTCCTTCCTTGTCCTGCTGTCCCGTCGGGCACACTGTCAGGTCTCCACCTCCCCTCGTTCTCTACGAACTTGGTGGCGGGTTGTGCGCTTCAGGATGGGGGTGTTCACCAGTTCACCCCTGCCTACGAGCGTGTGACACACTGCACGTGTGCTCGGACGGGCCGTCACCTGGCTACCTTCACTCGGCAGCCGGGGTCGGACCTGTACACACTGACCACTGAGTCCCCTCAGGTAGCGGCGTCTGCGTCTGCGTCTGCGTCAGGTCAGCTGTCTGCCCCCTGCTCGTGTCGCTCTCTAGCGCACAAGACTGTCCTCTGGCACCACCGACTTGGTCACCCGTCTGTGCAGCGCCTTCGGGGCATGCACGCCCGGTACCTTGTCTCTGGTCTTCCTCGGGTACTCCCTCCCCTCCCACCCTCCCTTGCTCCTCCTTGTCTTCCCTGTGTCGAGGGGCGGCAGCGCGCTGCCCCTCACTCCTCCTCGTTCCCCCCGACGACTGCTCCTTTGCAGACGCTCCACATGGACGTGTGGGGCCCAGCCCGCGTCCGTGGTCAGGGCCAGGAGAGGTACTTCTTGATCGTCGTTGACGACTACTCGCGCTACACCACAGTCTTCCCCTTGCGCACCAAGGGTGAAGTCCCTGATGTTCTGATCCCCTGGATCAGCAGAGCACGTCTTCAGCTGCGAGAGCGTTTTCGCTCGGAGTTTCCTGTTCTGTGCTTGCACTCTGACAGAGGTGGCGAGTTCTCCTCCGACCTCTTGGCAGCCTACTGTGCCGAGCACGGCATTCGCCAGTCGTTCACGCTCCCGGCCTCTCCACAACAAAATGGGGTTGCTGAGCGCCGCATTGGCTTGGTCATGGAGGTCGCTCGTACCTCCTTAGTCCACGCGGCTGCCCCCGACTTTCTGTGGCCGTTTGCGGTCCGGTACGCTGCGCATCAGCTCAACCTCTGGCCCCGTGTCTCCGCTCCGGAGACCTCGCCCACACTGCTCTGGACGGGGGAGGTTGGCGATGCGTCACGCTTCCGTGTCTGGGGATCCCGAGCTTTTGTTCGCGACACGTCTGCGGACAAGCTCTCCTCCCGCACTGCTCCCTGTGTCTTTCTTGGCTTTGTCCCGGATGCGTCTGGCTGGCAGTTTTACCACCCCGCCTCGCACCGAGTCTTCCCCTCTCAGGACGTCACTTTTGACGAGTCCGTGCCCTTGTACCGCCTCTTCCCCTACCGCACTGCCCCGCTCCCTCCCCCGCCTCTCTTCCTCGCGCCAGGTGCTGCAGTGGTAGACCCCCTTCCCCCTCAGGGTGCCGCTCCCTCAGGTGTCTCTCAGGTAGACCCGGTTGAGCCTGCCGAGGTAGCTGTCGACTCGCGTCCTACTAGAGGTGCTGAGCCTGAGCGTGCGGAGCCTGAGCGTGCGTAGCCTGAGCGGGCGGAGCCTGGGGGTGCTGAGTCTGGGGGTGCTGATCCTGGGGGTGCTGAGCCTGGGGGTGCTGGGTCTGGGGGTACTGAGCCTGGCGTTGCTGAGTCTGGAGTTGC